TATCATTAATGGCCAACATTTACTGTGATCTTTCTCTATAGCAGACGCTGTGCTAAGTATTTTATATCTTTTATCTGATTTGGTTTTTCCAAAGGCTCTGCGGAGTAGGTATGATTCCCATTTTATGGATGAGTAAGTGCCTTGCTCATCGTCACTCTGCCAGCTACCAGTGAAGCATCCACACAGGCTCTTAATCCCTGTGAAATGTGGGTACCAGGGGGCCCCTAGCACTGTGCTTTCCTCTATGCCTGTTTGCTAGATCTGGTCCATAACAGTTACTTCTGAAAATTAATCCATTCTAAAGCCAGCCATCTATATAGATTTTTTATTTCATTATTTTATTTAATTTTATTTTTAAAAAAGATTTTATTTATTTATTTGACAAAGAGAGACACAGCGAGAGAGGGAACACCAGCAGGGGGAGTGGGAGAGGGAGAAGCAGGCTTCCCGCGGAGCAGGGAGCCCAATGCGGGGCTTGATCCCAGGACCCTGGGATCATGACCTGGGCCGAAGGCAGATGCTTAACGACTGAGCCACCCAGGCGCCCCTAATTTCATAATTTTAAATGGCCTCATATTGCTTCATCCAGGATGCTCTTTTTTGTTTTCCCAAATTTTCACTATTTGCACGTGAGTGTGTGAGCATGTGTGCATCCATGTACCTGTACATATGTGTATAATGTGTGCATATTTGTGTGTATGTGTATGTATACACATCTGTAATGTATACACACATATATGTATATGGAGGCATATACATAATTATTATTTTTAATTATGAAAGTCATACATATCTATGGTAAAAAATTTAAATGGAGAGTCTCACAGCTGTCCTTAGCTGCTCATTCTCACTTCTCAGAGATTCTATCCATCAAAAATATGGTGACAACGGCAGGATGCCAACTCCAACTACCCCACGGCCCAGGACAAACGGTTCTCCACAGCGTTTGAATGCGCCAGTGCTCAGGGAATGACTTGGTCCTAACCTGAATGTTCCAGACGTGGGTGTCTGGCTATTACGGCTCACTTTACAGTTCAACCATTGTCTTGAACCACCCCCAAATATTTTCTATTAATATCCATGTCTTGATCCAAGGAGGCTCATTAACATTCCAGAATATCAGTCCGTATCGGCTCCTTGCATTGTACAACATTCTTTATGGCACAAAGAAGCAAGCCATGCAGATACCTGGGGGTGGGGGGAGCATCCAGGCAGAGAGAAGAGAAAGTGCAAAGGTCCTGAGGTGGAAGGAAGCCTGGCCTGTGCTGGAAGCACCGAAAAGCTTAGTGTAGCTGGAGCGGATCAAAGGAGAACAAGAGTGATAAAGAATGAGCTTTGAGGGGAAGGCCGTGGTATGGACTGTGGTTTGCATTTGGAAGTGATGGAGAATTGTGAATTAATGGATGCCACTTGCCCCCACTTTAATCTCTCCAGTGGCTTCCATTTGCATTTAGAATCTAAGGGAGGCTCTGCAGGGTCCTGCCCCATCCACCTCACCAAGCATCTCTCAGGCCTCACTCCTCCCTGCTCCGGCCCAGTTGTTCCTTAAATACATCTAGCTCTTTCTCGCATCCTGCCTCTTCCGCCCAGATGAGCTGCCACTGCCCCAGGCTCCCCTCATGTCTACATCCCACTCTTCCTGCAGGTCTGTTTCCGTGTCGTCTTCTCAGAAGAGCCTCCCCTGGCCTTCTGACCAGAAGTCACCTTGCCCCAGTTATTCCTTATGGCAACCTTGGTCCTCCTCCTTCGGAGCCACAATCACGAGCAAGAGTTCCATGCTTGTCTCTGGTTTATTCCCTTCCTGTTGGTCTCCTTAGCAGACGGCCAGCCCCACGAAGGCAGGGGCGCTGCTCGCGTTCATCCCCTAGCCCTGCCGACCACGCACTGTGCGGACTCAGTAATATTTAAATGAATGCTTAAAAGCAAGCACCAAGAGAGGCCCGATCAGCAGCCCTGTGGATGGGACAGGGAGAGCCTGGAGGCCAGGACATGCTTGACGGAACATGACCACTGTTTGGGGACTTTGCAGCAGCAGGAGAGACAGAGAGAAGGCGCTGGGTTCAAGAGCCCTTCAGGAAGTAGAAGCCATGGGGTTTGATGCCTGCTATCTGAGGGAGGAGAAAGCTTTACTCTTAGGGTGACGACTTGGGGGATGGGGAAGAACTGCGGGCGGGGCTTAGAAATAACGGAAATGTATTTCTCGTGGTTCTATTGTCCGGGAAGTTCAAGACCGTGGCACCGGCAGATTCAGGGTCTGGGGAAAACCCACTTTGTGGTAGACAATCATCTTCTCACTGAGTCTTCGCGTGGTGAAAAGGGCAAGGGGGTTCTCTGCCGTCCTTTTTACAGGGGCACTAATCCCACTCATGAGGCTTCACCCTCATGACCTCATCACTCCCGAAGACCCCACCTCCTACTGCCAACACCTTGGGGGTTAAGATCCCAACATATGAATTTGGGGGAGACGCAAACATTCAGATCATAGCAAACACAGTGCAATTAAGTTGTGTGGGGGGGGCGGAGGGGGGGATATTTGGGGCTTTATATCAGGAGCCCAGTCTTGGAATGTGAGGTGCTTGAGGGGCGATCTAGAGGGACATACCTGGGGCGGGGGGCAGGTGAAAATACAGTCTTGACACTCAGAAGTGAAATTTGCCTGGAGAGGTCTGGTACGAACGATGATTTCAGCTGACATTTCTGGAGTGTTTAGCACACGTGAGGTCCCACAGGAAGCCTGAAGACAGCATGGCATAGCAGCCAAGAGCCCAGTTTCTGGAGTTAGGTTGTCAGGGTTCAGGTAGGAGCCCCACCGCTTTCGAGGTTTGTGATCCTCACCAAGATGCTTAAGTTCTCTGTGCCTCCACTTCCCCAAATGTGCAATGGGGGTAATACTAGGGCCCCTCCTTTGGGTTATTATCAGGATCATAATGAAT